TATCTTTTCTAGCGATCGTGTAACAGAAAATTTGAGGAGTAGACCATGATAGCAAACATACGCCATACTTATTAGAAGTGGCAATTCCTTATCATTGTCGTCGATGGAAAGCAGAGTCAAACTTTGATGTGAAGCTCATGCCACAAAATGGTAGCGAATTAAAGAACATCTTGTTGCAAAATATAATGCGGTATAAGCTGAGGCGTGTAGAGTTGAAGTTAAGGTCTTTAAAAATCATGTACAAGAGGAAAAGATGCACTGCAAAAATATATCAGGTTGTCCAAATTCTGTTGTTTCATTTCTGGAAATTTGTAACTTTCTGCTATCGATACGAATTGTCTCTTTTAGAGTTTATTGAACAGCAAGTTTTTTTCTTTGTAGGCTTGTCTCAACGATCTCCTTTGCACTCATTGCTGAGATAAAATGAAAGAAGAGAAGTATTGGCTTCGACCATTTTGAGTTGGGTCACCAAAAATTTGGAACCTTACAGAAAAATCTGAAATCGTCAGTACACAATTCTATGACCTACTCTTCACATCCGAGAAGAATTTGTACTGTTTGGACGCTTTCGTGAAAAGTTATGAATTCCGAGTTCACAACAGAAAACGCCAAATTTGATTAATTTGTCAATTTTTTCGAAAATCATGACCTTTCACAGAGACATCCAAACATCACAATCTTTCCTCATTTGCAAAGAGTAGGTCATGAAACCCATGTGCCGACGTTTGGTTTTACCAATATTCCAAATCATTGACGACTAATTCAAGATGATCGAAGCCTGAATGGTCTTCTTTTCCACCTTTTCACCTCTGCGGTGAATGTATTGCTCGAGATACATATACTAGGCTGATTCAAAGTTCTCTTGATTTGCGATTTTTTCATTTAAAATCTTATAACTTTTTTCAAAGTCAATAATATTGAACAAATTAAATTTTTTTGAATTAAGCCATTTATAACTATCACATCCACTGTATACCATGTAAGGAAGGCAAGCGAGAGAGAAGAGAAAATGATTCAAATTCTGCAGGGTTTTCATTAAAAGAGACTCTAACATATGCAATATTGAAGGCATCACCCACCGCTATATGTAGATTGTTGTCGCTTGTTGAATAACTGGGTTTGTCTTCCATCTTTGAAAAAAAAATTGGAAAAGTAAAACGTTCTTTACGCTGGAGGAAAAATGTGCTTATGTTAGCCCATTACACCCTCAACCATTATAAATTATCATGTACTTAGTTTTGTGAGCACTGCGGAAGTTCCGCTTCATGGAAAATTTTTGGGCATGACTGTATTTTGGCAATTTTGCTTCGGGGCTCAAAATTTCATCTAGGAAAGTTGATAAAGTTGATTTCCCAAGCATCAGTAAGCACTAGAAGGAGCAAGAAAAGTACTTCTAGATGATGGTTATGACAGTGCCATAAGTGCAAAACCCCAAGAAAATAGCTGCGCTAAAACAAGGCAATTGAAAATCGGACAGAACTTTTGAATCAGCCTACTACAAAGAAGAAGACTAAAGAAGAAGACTTCTTCTATCTGATAAAATCAGAAAGATTGTGACGATAACAATAAGCTACGAATTTTCAAAGTGAAACGGCAGAACCTTTGGACAACCTAATATATGAGAAATGCATCTTTTTCTCGTGTACATAATTTTTATAAACCTTAACTTTTATCCTACACGCATCAGCTTATATCTCATTATATTTTCCAACAAGATGTTCTTTGTCGCTACCGCTAATTTTGTAGTTTGAGCTTCATATCCAACTTTGACAATGCTTTCCATCGACAGTGATAAGGAATTGCTTCCACCACCCACTCTGAACATTCTCAGCTCTTCATCCACTTTATCCGCTTGTAATCAAACGACAATATATGTCATTGCAATATAT